ATGAATAAAGTATATGATAATAGACTTTGCCACAAACAAAAAAACTAACGCAACCAGTCCACTTCATGTTTTGCAAGGAAAATTTTACATAGCAGAAGTTGCTTTAGTAAACAAAAAGCGAGCCTCGCAGAGACGTGCACAGTTCAAATATCAGAAAATATCATTGATCTGGTTACTAGGCAGTGGTGCAAGGAAATAGCCTCCCTACCTGAACCACCACAGCTTCTCATTTCAGTTCAATGACAAAGGAGGGCAGGTCTCAGGGAATAAAAGTCTTTAAAGATACTACTGGAATTCGTCAACATAAAGGATTGCTTTTTGGCTCAGGATATGTGCAAATGAAGGCAACAAGAATTGCCCACTTTAGACCCCCTTCAAACAGTATTTCTACACGCTGTGTTTCTATTTATGACATGCCCTCCCTGTCTTGCTAACGGAGACATCTAAAACCACTACAGATCAGTGGTACTGCGATTGTTATAGTGTCCTTTCTCCTAGATACAATCCCTCTCTGAAATCTTGTGGTTCTCAGCCTTGGGAGACAATACTGAGCTAAAGAAAATCCATCGACCGACCAGACAGTTCCTTCTGTTCTAACCCAAAGAGCTAAAAACATAAAGCGCAACAATACATTTAGTAACAAAAACAAAATCAGCACCCCTAATTAAATCTGCAATTGCAGCAAACCTGTAGCGAGTCCTCGGCTTACGACCGTTCATTGAGTAACTGTTCAAAGTTACAACTTTGTAACTTTGGGCATATACAGAAGCAATGATCAAGTCAGGCTTTAATGATGTTGGTTAATCCACCCTCTTGCATCACAAAGTGAGAAGAGAAGAGCCTCCAGGATCGGGAAGGGAGAAGGTAGATTTGTATGGAGCTCAGCTTCCGAATGAAGAGAGATTCTGCTGGTGGGTGTTGTAGCCCACAAGCAGAGCTGGGCAACAGATTTGGACAGTCGGAACAGAGATCTTTTCAGGTGGGGAGTAGAACGCCTAACTCCTTAGCACCAGAGCGTGTTAATAATAATATAAGAAATACTAATGATCTGATGGTCATTTCGAAATATCATGTGCGCCAAATTTCAAGTTTGTAGGCTTCACGGTTCTGGAGAGTTTGTGATGTCATGTGAGTTGCATTTCACTCATATACCATATTTTTCAGACTATAAGACGCACCATGATTTGCTTTTCTTTGCCCTCCCCAGCCCGCAGGAGCATTTTGCAAGCCTCCCAAACCCTCTGCACGTCCATTTTTGCAAAGGGGACGGGGTTTCGGTAGGCCAAACATACTGTATTCAGTGTGTAAGACACACCCGGATTTTCACCCTCTTTTTTGAGGGAAAAGGTGCGTCTTATGCTCCGAAAAATATGGTATATAGATTGGGTTCTACTAATCGAGATGACATGTTAATATACGGCATGTTGCTGGTCCTTGTACAATGTGCCGTTCACTAAATAAGTCATAATTGGCAGCCGTCCAGGAGGTGCCCGCTGAATGACTCAGGAGGCGCACAAAAACCAAGCAAGAGCGACGGAAGAGTTACCTGGCAAACTGTGGGATAAATGGGCAGGCGGCACTGCCTGATGGAGGCTGGTAGACAACCCAGCCAGAAGACCTAGAAAGGAGAGGGGGGGATTGAGGAGGAGGAGGAGGAAGAGGAGGGAGGAAGAGAAACAAATGTACATTGAAGACAAATGAGCCGAAGATGATCTGTGGATGGATTCAGATGAAAAATGACCCGCCCTCCGCCCTCCAACCTTTGCCAAAAACTCTCCAGCAAACCTCTTTCATCTCATTATCGGATTGGCTGCTCAGCTAAATTCACCGGTAAAGGTAAACAGCTGTTTGGCTGATGTGCCAAGAGTTTGGAGGCAGTAGCTGAACACATAAATCAGATGCTCTGAAAAAAACGACGTACCTGAAGGGGCGCAGGGCATTGGATGGGGCAAAATCCCAGCAACGATTCCCTTCCCACAGGTCAAGTCATCGCTTGAAAGGGCGGTTCGCAAGGAATGAGCTAGCAGGGGCAGCCTGGACTGTCTCCCTGCCGGAGCCAAAACATTAATTCTCTGCTCCCATCTCACAGGTTTACTTATCAAATAATTATACGCCACTACATAATTCCAGCTACAGCGCCCAGCGACAACAACGGACAGCAAGGAGAGCTATTGCGATACAATAACGACAAAAAGCGTAGCCAGAAGAAGGGAACAGCGACCAAATAACACCACAGATGATGCTCAAGGTCATGTCAGGCCTGGGGAAACCAGGGGTTTATTTACTGCAAAGCCCATCATCCAGCACCAGCGCAGAAAAAAAAAGGCGGGATTTCAGCAGTGGGTCTCCTATTTGGAACATATTTTATCTCTCAGGGATCTGCATCTATTTTAGGGGGTACAAATCACCAACAAATACTTCCAAAGAAACGGTGAAATTCATAAGGAGGTGGTTATCCTTCCAGAAATATAGGGGAGGGGTCTTGCTGGTCAGAGACAAAACAGACTAGCCAGTAAAGGAGAATATTTGTTTTCTTTCTGAGCTCGGTTGTTTTCTTGTAGAGGTTTTCATTAAAATAGGTGACGTCATCGATATTAGTGATGCAGAGAGACTTGGCCCTATCTTGCGTCTGTTAGAAAGTATGTTAACTCCAACCTATGGGATGTTTTTGACTAATTGTTGAGGTCCATCTGGCAAAAGCCCTTCAGAGTCACTTAAAAAGTTGAAAAATAGGAGTAAGTAATAGCAATTAGACTTACATATTGCTTCACAGTGTTTTACAGACCTAAGCACTTTATAGAGTCAGCATACTGTCCCCCTCCAACAATCTGGGTCCTCATTTTACTGACCTCAGAAGGATGGAAGGCTGACTCAACCTTCAGCCAGTCAGGAATCAAACTCCTGGCAGTGAGCAATGAGTTAGCTTGCAGTGCTGCATTCTAACCACTGCGCCACCACAGCTCAGTTAAAGGTTCCCCTTGCACAAATGTACTATTCTAGGGGGCGGTGCTCATCTCTGTTTCAAAGCCAAAGAGCCAGCGTTGTCCGAAGATGTCTTCATGGTCATGTGGCTGGCATGACGAAACGCCAAAGGCACACGGAACGCTGTTACCTCCCCCACCAAAGGTGGTCCCTATATTTCTATTTGCATTTTTACATGCTTTCCAACTGCTAGGTTGGAAGAAGCTGGGACAAGTAACCGAAGCTCACTCTGTTACCTGGCGCCAGGGATTTGAACTGCCAAACTGATTTCTCGGCATCTTAGCCACTGAGCCACTGCATCCATGACGGACTTTGCATTTGGAGCTGCGCCACAGAAGCACTTTTGATCTCAGACCCCTCCCATGCGGTGTCAGTGGATGAAAGGAAGGGAAAAGGAGGCTTAAGGAGGTCATGTGCATGAGAAAGTAGTCCCTGATGGATTGTCGCAACCAAAAGGACAGCTTTTGAAAGACAGGATGGGACCCAGGCCCAGAATTGTTGAGATGCAAAAGCAGAGCGAAGACAGAGACAATGACAGACATAAACATGAGCGAGACAGGAAGGGATCTTCGTAACTCATCAGAGGACCACCAGTTCAAGGGGATGAGTATTTTTTTTTTAAAGGATCCCTTTGGGCAAGAGCAGGCGT